GATGGACATTTGGGCTCTTTCCATACTTTGGCTATTGTCGATAGTGCTGCTATAAACATTGGGGTGCACGTGCACCTTTGAAACAGCACACCTGTATCCCTTGGATAAATGCCTAGTGGTGCAATTGCTGGGTCGTAGGGTAGTTCTGTTTTTAGTTTTTTGAGGAACCCCCATACTGTTTTCCAGAGCGGCTGCACCAGCTTGCATTCTCAAGTTTGTTCTCTCTATCTTTAAGAGTCTCTTATGGTTTGCTTCCCTCCTTTTTTTTCCCTTTCCCATATGTTCGTCTGTTTTGTTTCTTAAATTCTACATACAAGTAAAATCATATGGTATTTTGTCTTTCTCTGACTGACTTGTTTCGCTTAGCATGATATACTCTAGCTCCATCCACGTTGTTGCACATGGCAAGATTTCATTGTTTTTGACAGGTCAGCACTGACTTTTAAAGGATCCTATTATCATTTGATTGTGTTGCTCCCTTTTAGAGTATATTCCGTGTAGTGTTCCATGACAGACGACTACAATACACTGAACATCAGCAGCTGGAAGGCTGGAGGTGGAACCGACCTGGAGATAGAATTCTTGACATTGGTGAGTTAAGGGAATCTTTTGCCCAGGAAATGCTTATAAGTATGGTCTGAGAATCGGTTTTCTTTACTTCATGTTTACCTTGATTCAGAATGCTTCAGGGGCTCAATTAGCAAAACCCTGAAGGGGTTATTGACCATAAGCATAAAAAATTACTGGGATAATACCAAAATTGAAGTTGGAACACTTCAGTTCGGTAACAATTACATCCAGTACTTTAGGGTTTGTTTTTGTGTTTTTAATGTAGTTATGGTAAAATATATAGAACATAAAAGTTAGTATTTCAAAACATTTTAAAGTAAATAATTCAGTGCCCATTCACATTGTGCAGCCCTCACTGCATCCATCTCCAGAACTTTTTTCATCTTGCAAAACTGAAACTCTGTAACCATTCAGCAGTAACTCTCCATCCCCTTTTCTCCCCAGCCCCTGGCAACTACCATTCTACTTTTTGTTTGAATGAATTTGACTACTCTAAGTGCCTCATATAAGTGAAGTCATCCAGTATTTGTCTCTTTGTGATTGGCTTGGTTCACTTAACATAATCCTCAAGGTTCATCCACATAGTGGTATGCATCAGAATTTTCCTCCTTTTTAAGGCTGAATACTATTCCATTGTGTATAAATACCACATTTTGTTTATCCATTCATCCTTTAGTAGACACTTGGGCTGATTCTACCTTTTGGTGATTGTGAATAATGCAACTTATGACCATGGGTATACAGATATTTCAGTCTGCTTTCAGTTCTTTTGGGTATAAGCCCAGAGACGGAATTGCTAGATCATATGTGATAATTCTATTTTTAATTGTTTTGAGGAACCACCGTACTGTTTCCATAGCAGCTGCACGTTTTACATTCCCGTCAGAAGTGAACAAGGGTTCTAATTATTCTACCTCCTCACCAACATGTGCTATTTTCCTTTTTTAATTTTGTTTTATTTTTTTTAATTTGAAAATGTTTTATTTATTTATTTTTAATAATTTTTTTTAACGTTTATTTATTTTTGAGAGAGAGAGAACAAGCAGGGGAGAGGCAGAGAGAGGGAGACACAGAAGCTGAATCAGGCTCCAGGCTCTGAGCTGTCAGCACAGAGTCTGATGCGGGGCTTGAACTCACGAGCTGTGAGATCATGACCTGAGCTGAAGTCGGATGCTCAGTCAACTGAGCCACTGAGGCGGCCAGATGTTTTATTTATTTTTGAGAGGGAGAGAGACAGAATGCAAGTGGGGGAGGGACAGAGAGGGAGACAAAATCCGAAGGAGGCTCCAGGCTCTGAGCTGTCATCATAGAGCCTGACGCAGGGCTTGAACTCCCAAACTGCAAGATCATGACCTGAGCTGAAGTCAGAGGCTCAACTGACTGAGCCACCCAGGTACCCCTATTTTCCTTTTTTTAAATAGTAGCCATCCTAATGGATGTGAATTGGTATCTCATTATGGTTTTGATTTACATTTCTGTAATGATTAGTGATGTTGGCATCTTTTCATATGCTTATTGAGTATATATGTATCTTCTGTGAAGAAATGTATATTCAGGTCCTTTCCTCGTTTTTGAATCTGGTTGTTTTGTGGCTGTTGGTTGTTGAGTTGTAGGAGTTCTTTATATATTCTGGATATTAACCCCCTATCAGATACATGCTTTGCAATATTTTCTTCCATTCTGTGTGGATTGTCTTTTCGCTGCGTTGATAATGTCCTTTGATGTATAAAAGTTTAAATTTTGATGTAGTCCAGTTTATGTATTTAATTTTATTGCCTTGCCTGTGCTTTTGGTGTCACATCTAAGAAATTGTTGCAAAACCCAATGAAGCTTTTCCTGATATGTTTTATAGTTTTAGGTCTTACATTTAGGTGTTTGATACATTTTTCAGTACATTTTTGTATATGGTATAAAGTAAGAGTTCATCTTCATTCCTTGTATGTGGATATTCCGTTTTCCCAAAACCATTTATTGAAACAACTATTCTTTCCCCACTGATTGGTCTTGGCACCTTTGTCCAACGTCTTTTAACACATATGTGAGGATTCACTTCTGGGCTCTCTCTTGTATTCCATTTGTCCGTGTCTCCACCTTTATGGCAGTACCACACTGGCATAACTTTGATAACTGCAACTTTGTAGTAAGTTTTGAAATCTAGAAATGTGAGACCTCCAACTTTATTTCTCAAGATTGTTTTGGCTATTCAGGGTCTGATATTTTGAGTGTATGTAAAAGGGTCCCCAAATGCTGCAAGTTCTTTTTTTTTTTTAATTTTTTTTTTCAACGTTTATTTATTTTTGGGACAGAGAGAGACAGAGCATGAACGGGGGAGGGGCAGAGAGAGAGGGAGATACAGAATTAGAAACAGGCTCCAGGCTCCGAGCCATCAGCCCAGAGCCTGACGCGGGGCTCGAACTCACGGACCGCAAGATCGTGACCTGGCTGAAGTCGGACGCTTAACCGACTGCGCCACCCAGGCGCCCCTGCAAGTTCTTTTTTTTACTAATACTTGAGAGCCAGATAGTGTTTGTTTTACCTACAGTAAGAGACCTGGGATTAGAATCTATGTCTCTTGATTTGTAGTTTATATTTTTGCCCCTACTACTACAGAGTAGAAAGTTTCTCTTGTTTTTTTTTTTTTTTTTTTTTTTTTTTTTTTGAATTTTTAATGTTTATTTATTTTTGAGGGAACAGGGAGGGAAGGGGGGGAGAGGGAGACACAGAATCGGAAGCAAGCTCCAGGTTCTGAACTGTCAGCACAGAGCCCGACCCATGCGGGGCTTGAAATCAGGAGCCGCAAGATCATGACCTGAGCTGAAGTTGGACATTTAACCAGCTGAGCCACCCATCGCCCCTAGAATTGATTTTTCTTAAATCATTGGGCTTAAGGGAAGTTGTTTTACAAACATACATGCAGTCTCTTTTCATGAATGTACTTTTAATCCTGCCATCTGTGTCTTTGATCTCCTACTGGTCTTATCTCCTACTGGGAAACATAATTGTTAAGCAAATCTAAGTACCTACTAGCTTTACCTAAGAAAATACTGATTCTCATACAGACATCCTGATATCCATTTGATAAATTGACCTTAGGATGAATCCAACACAACTAACATTGTGGGACCCACTTAATGCTTTGTTGTTTGAATCGACAGTAAAACAGTAGTATGGTTAGTGTTAGTTGTGATAATATCAGCCTGGCTTTATCTCCCCAATTTGAATATTAATAGAAGTCAGGAAATGATATTTGAGTGAGTATATGCTATGTGGAATGGAAAGCAATTCTGCCGAGGCTCATTCATTTTTGTTTCCCTCTTGAGTATCAGATTTGTTGCTCTGTTACAGGATTATTTGATGACTTCAAGGCCAGCATCGATCTCTGTGTTAAATTTTTCCCATTTCTTTCTGTAATACAATGCTTCTGCCTTTATTCAGACACTCTGCTTTCTCTTTCTGTAGCAGTCTTCTTAGTGTTCTTCTATCAGTAACACTAATCTTAAAACTGTAAGTGAAGCAGATTATATTACAATTTTAGAACTAGTGTGTAGACTAAATCTATCTTTAAGTAGAATTTTGGCAAATTAAAAGGAAACTGCGTTTAAATTGTCTTATTTAAAAAACCTTTCAAAGTGGAAGAAAGATACTCAGAAGGAAAGTACTTAGGTCCATTTTAGCTCTAATCAAACCCTTTTCATTGGCAAAAAGAGGTTTAGGATGTGATACATAAAAATCTTGGTAACGAGGACCGATAATAAAACAATGGTACTTTCTTATTTAAACCCAGTAGCCCTCAGAATTGTTCAATGATTACCATTTTGTTTCTCAGATATCCCAATGTCTGTGGGTATAATCGATCCTAGGGCCAATCCAACCCAACTGAATACAGTGGAGTTCCTGTGGGACCCGGCAAAGAGGACATCTGTGTTTATTCAGGTAGGGCCTTGCAGATGGCCTTCCGGTGATGAAGAGCATTCTTACTCCCAGTTTGTTTCTTAAAGGATAAAACATGTTGCATTTGAAATTTTTACAGGGTTCCAGCCTGGCTGTCAAGTCCAGACTCCTCAACACTTGCCTGAGAGCAATGAGGAGTGTCTGAATTGCCCTTCTAATTTCCCCAATTTATTTATTTGTATGACAAAACAAACAAACAAACAAACAAAAACATGCTTGCTAACGGCTGCATAATGTTCCATTCTTTGGATGTAGTATAACTTCCTTATTATTTAGCATTTAGGTTGTCCTAAATTTGCCCTATTTTCCATGAAGTTGTTTTGAACATCGTTATGCTTAAAATTTGATTTACATATCTGATTATTTCTGTTGAGTAGATTCCTTTAAAATTCTTACTTGTAATAAAGAAAGCTAGGGTTTATGGAGTACGTCCCATTGGTCACTATGTTAAGTAAACAGTTTGTACACATGATCTTATTTAAAACTTTTAGCAGTAATCCTGTGGACTAGGAATAGTCTTTGAGGTTTAGAGAAATTAACAATTTATCTAAGCTAATAAGTGGCCAGTCAGGGTTTCACAGTTCAGATTCACCAAGGCGTTCACTTTATGCAGTAGCCAAGCAAGCCTTGAAAGCCTTTTTTCCCCACTATTGCCCGTGAGCTTTCATAGTTGGTATTTTCCCAGCATGGATGGTGCCTCTGCTTTCTAACCTCTACCTTAAAGTCTAGAAAACTTTTACTAATAGAAATCATTTCTCTTTTATATTAACTCTGTATTCTCTGAAGCAGTTAATGAATTTAGTTCCTCCAAGTAACTTTTGTTAGCGTTGGATCTGTACATTTACTTTGTTTCATTTGTAAATAAGTTTTTTTATTTCCTCCATTAGAATATACGTTCTTCAAGATCAAAAAGAGAGTAAAAGTTTTTTCTTGTTTTTTTTTTTTTTTTTTTTTTTTTTTTTTTTTTTTTAAGATTATATATATATATGCTTTTAAGTAAGCTCTATGCCCAACATGGGACTCAAACTTATGACCCTGAGAGATCAAGAGTTGCATATTCTCCGACCGGGCCAGCCAGGTGTCCCTAGAGTAGAAGTTTTTTATAGGTGTTCATAGTGTTTTCTAAAGGTTTTGCTCTTAGTAGGAGCTGCAAAAATATTGCTGAGTGGTTTGGCTGGCTAGCGGTACTGAAACCTGGATGTTGTATTCTTTGTAGGTGCACTGCATTAGCACAGAGTTCACTATGAGGAAGCATGGTGGAGAAAAGGGAGTGCCATTCCGAGTCCAAATTGATACCTTCAAGGAAAATGAAAACGGGGAATATACTGAGCACTTACACTCAGCCAGCTGCCAGATCAAAGTCTTCAAGGTATTCCTGGGCAACTTGCTGTCCCTTGTATCCTTTTTCCTCCTCTTTCAATTTTAACATTAGTTAACATTAGTAGTTAACATTTCCCAAGTGGGAAAGTCCGCTTGTCTGTTTTTCAACAACTGTGAAAACTCAGTCTAAGCTGGAGTCCTTGAGGTCATTACTGAGATGTCTGGTAATGGATTTATATGGGGATGGGCATGGGAGAAGGGGAATTTGCAAAGGGAGCTAGAGGCAAAAGCATGGATTTTCACTGAAAACTCTTAAAGTCTGTTGAGATTATAAGCTCTTGTAAAAGCTCACAAAATTATGAAAAGTTGATAGTTTTGGTTACATTGGTATTTGACTTTCTTTTGTTCTTTTGGTCTTTATTTTTATCACACGGATAAATATGTTCTCACTGCAGAAGATGAAGTATTCGGACTGAAGTCCCTCTTTACCACTTTTACCCCGACTCCCCAATCTTTCTCAGGGGTCACCACTGTCCTAATTTAGCATGTATCCTTTTAGTCCCTTCTGTGCTTTATATACACGTGTATTTTCTTTTCTTTGAAGCATAAACAGGATTGCACTAGATGAGTTGTTTTGAGGCTTGCTTTTTTCAGTTTTAGTTTTCTTGCTTTAGAGACATTTCCACGTCTATAACTATAGACCGCATATTCTTTTTTAACTGCATCAGACAGTTAGGTTTCCTATTTTCAGACATAGACGCAAGGTTGCATCTTGTGTTTACATTATTGTGCGTACATCCTTGTTTCACACGTGACTATTTAAGCTCTTAGAAATAATATTGTTGGCTCAAAATTCCGTCGATGAGTCAAGACAAAACATTTCTCATTTCAGCCCAAAGGTGCAGACAGAAAGCAAAAAACAGATAGGGAGAAAATGGAGAAACGAACACCTCATGAAAAGGAGAAGTATCAGCCTTCCTATGAGACAACGATACTCACGGAGGTAAAAGGATTTCTTTTGGTGACAATTTCAGTCAATACTTTTTATTCTTAAAAGAAAATCCCCCCATTTCTCAGTGTGTATGTGTATCAAATCATTATGTTTTGCACCTTAAAACTAATACTGTGTTGTATGGCAATTGTATCTCAGTTTTTTAAAAACAAAACGAAATAACCCCCCACAACTTTTTGCCTGGTCAAGATTTAGTTGTCCTGGGTATATTTGCTCTTCATTATGGGGGCCTCTGTGTAGTTAAGACTTACTAATCAAGATATGCTATTCAAGTAATAATGTTTTAGTGGGACACTAGGGTCAAATGTACTTTTTCAGTATTTCAGTTGTTCTTTGTTTTTAGTGTTCTCCATGGCCTGAGATCACATATGTCAATAACTCCCCATCACCTGGCTTCAACAGTTCCCACAGCAGTTTTTCTCTTGGGGAAGGGTAAGTCTGGGAAATGAAAAAGTAGGTTGTGTTTGTCCTAAATATGTCTTCTTTCATTATCTTCTCATATACAAGTTCTTTATAAGTCAGTAAGTCCTATTTGGTCAGTCTCTGATGGATTCATGGATTAACTGAGGTTTGGATTATCTTCAAAAGTGACTGAAAGTCCGTTCTCCTCCTCTTTTTTCTTTCTATTAAAAATAGCATTAAAAAAAAAAAAGAAAACAGCATTATGGTCAGTTTTTCGTGTTTCAGAGACTGATTTTCTGGGCTTTTCACTTCTCCCGTCACTGCTTATCTTGTGGTTATTTCATTTCCTGCTCATACTTTCCACCAGAGTGGTCATTAGGAATTGAAACATAGTTGTACAACACTAAAATCTGTTTTGTTACTTACTAAGAATGATCCTAATACCTTATTATTATGGATCTTTGATAATTGGGAAAGAAGGTTGAAGAAAGCTAAAATGAAGTTTTAGAATGATCTGTGGGATGCATGTAATCTCTTTTTATTAGTCTTTTATCATCAGAGATCATTGAAAGTTGGTACAGATGCCTATGCCAGTTAAAATAAGTTGTTTTACTAGTCTTAGTATTTAACACATATTCCACATAGGCCACATTGAAATTTGAAATAGGCTACTAAATGTGTGATGTGTTTTGGTCGTAATGTTTGTTTTTGAATTTACGTAGGCTTTGGTTCAGTCTGCATTTATAAGAAATTAAAGTAGCTTCAATATTCAAAATATAACAATTAAGAATAAAAATAAGCAGAAGTTGTAGAGAGAATAGATAATTAAGGCCTGGTGATAATTTAATTACTAAGTTTGAATACTGAATTTGAATTTTGCAGTTAAAGCAAAAAAAGAAAAAGAAGAAAGTCTGTTTTGAAAGAAAAATCTCTTACCATCCATGTGGAGTACGCAGTCTACTTATAGGCAATTTTTTAATGTTTTTTAAGGTTTATTTTTTTTTTTTAGTAATCTCCACACCCGATGTGGGGCTTGAACTTATAACCCCAAGATCAAGAATTGCACACTCTACTGGCTCAGCCAGCCACGCGCCTGTAGGCAATTGTAAATATGTGGGATTAAAGAGTTGTGTTTTAAAATTTTCTCTCTTCTCTTTGTCATTACTTTGTTATTAGGCTCAAATTTTTCTCTGATAAAAGGAGTATTAGGGAATAGAGACAGTCCTTAGAGTATAGGAGGTATAGAGAAAAACTGAAGAGTATGGAGATAGCCTGTGGATTGCAAATTAGGCAGCACTCATTTTTGAAGCTGCTTTAAAAATAATGGTTTTGGTTGTCATTATAAAAATATATGGGGGCACCTGGGTGGCTCAGTCAGTTAAGGGTCCGACTCTTGATTTCAGCTCAGTTCATGAACAGTTTGTGAGTTCAAGCCCTGTGTCGGACTCTGCACTGACAGCACAGAGCCTGCTTGAGATTATCTCTCCCTCTCTGTCTGCTCCTTTCCTGTTCGAGCTTGCTTGCACACACATTCGCTCTCTCGCTCTTTCTCTCTCTCTCTCTCTCAAACAAACAAACAAAGAAAAGTATGGGATCACATTGCATTACGTAAAGTTTCTCTGGTATTTTTTTCCTGTATATATGTTTGTGTGTATATCTATATATTTATTAAAATAGTAATCTATTGATTGCTGTTATGTTCTGATATTTTTAGTTTCTTATAAACTGCTTATGTTAAATATTCTTTATGCCATAATTTATCTAATGAATCCCAATTGGCTGAAATTTTTATCTTTTTTCAGTTTGTCCAATAATAAAAAATGTTGCAATGACAGTTTCTTACTCTCCCCCTGTGATCTTAATGTTAAATTAACAGACGATAGAAGTATTGACTATAGACTAAAACTGCTTTATGAGAGAGCACAGATTCCTTTTAAATCTCTAGCTTGAGGGGCCCCTGGCTGGCTCAGTCAGTAGAGCACTCGACTCTTAATCTCGGGGGTTGTGGGTTCGGGTACAGGTTGGATGTGGAGATTACTTAAAAAAAAAATGTCTAGTTTGAGACTTACTATGAGGGTGAGGAATGAGATGATGAACCCTAGTATGTGTCTCATCCTTTTCATTTTACATGTGTTTTCAGAAATGGTTCACCAAACCACCAGCCAGAGCCACCCCCTCCAGTCACAGATGTAAGTCTAAAGTTAAATGTAAGTGACTTGCAGTGTCTACTAATACTTTGATGACTGTGCGGTTCCACAGAAATGCCCAGCTTTTAAGGAGTACTTTTTATTCATTCATTAAATAGGCATTTATTGAATTTTGACTCTGAATTTTGACAATGCTAGGGAACTGAGAGGTGAACAAGTTAATGCAGGAACGCTTGCATTTAAAGAGCTTACAGTCTAGTAAGGAAGACAGGTATGGGATTCCATGGGCATCTTGCTTGGCTAGAGACAGAAGGCTGATGAGGTATAAACAACTTCCAGGCAAACTAGGCGACCCGTCTGAGTGTGAGTGTGTTTGGCTCTGTGTTACCTAATGATGTAAGAGCTAAATCTATTGAGTTACCAAAAAAACAAAAACAAAAAAAACCTGCTTGCTTTCTTTTCCTTTCAGAACCTCTTGCCAACAACCACACCTCAGGAAGCTCAGCAGTGGTTGCATCGAAATCGTTTTTCTACGTTCACAAGGCTTTTTACAAACTTCTCAGGTTAAATTGATTTGTCCTTTTGTTTTCCCCCAGAACAAGATATTCCTTTACATTCTAGGGCTTCCTGGCATCCACGTAAGGGTGTGTTGTGTGCGTGCATGTGCAGGGGTGTGTGTGTGTGGGGGGGGGTCTTCGTGCTTTTTTCTGATGAAGTGAATTTCATAGAACCCTTCAGACTTTCTCAGCAGGTGCATCTGTGCTGCGAAATACTTAAGAAAGACTTCTTCGTTTAAACTCACTTCAGTTTAAAAATATTTATTCCATACAGTGCTTTTAAAACTGTATACTCCATAAATTTTTATCAAGGGCATTTGTAGATAGTCTGAAATTTCCCCTTTGATATCACCATATTGTATTTTATTTGCATATTCCACTTATTTAGCACCTTCTGTATACCAGGTATGGTAGGGATACACACATGGATAAGGCATACTTTCTGATCATTCATCATCTAGTATCAAAAAAAACCCCAAGTCAAAATAAAACCCTGAAAAAAAAAATAGTTGTAATGTAGTAGATAAGTGGTACAAAGCAGGGGAGGGGAGTAGTTTCTGGAGTTAGGGAACATGTGTAATGTGTGAGGTAAATCTTGGGAGATGTTGAGGACTCTGTTGGTCGGACAGTGGAAGGATATTTCAGGTAGGAGGAGCAACTTGCTCATTAGACTTCATCAGTGTGATGAAAGCATAGGGTAAAGTGGACCAGTTCATTGGGTGGCAGTTGAGGTGGGAGAGGAAGCAGAGGCCAGGTCATGGAGAGGCTTACATGTACCATGCAGAAGATTAGGGGCTAGAACATAACAGAGCCCATTTTAATGGTCATTAACAAAGACGGTCTTTGCCTTTTTCACCCATTTTCTTATATTTATTCCAGGGGCAGATTTATTGAAACTAACTAGAGATGATGTGATCCAAATCTGTGGCCCTGCAGATGGAATCAGACTTTTTAATGCATTAAAAGGCCGGTATGTAATTAGTGTTAAAATATCCGTGAGGTTGGATTTCAAATGGATTTGGATTCAGGGACTCTTCACAGTACTCTTTGCACAGCTAACTGCGTCTTGTCAAAACATTCTTTGCAAATGCCAGCTCTGTACCAAATAAGCAAAGATGAAAATATCTTTTCCTACAGTTGATTCAAGGAATGCCCCATGGTACCCCATTTTTCCTTTCCAGGTAGTTTTTTCATTCAATAAATATTCATTATCCCTATCGTGAGCCACGTACTATTGTAGGCTCTAGGGATATGTTGGTGAGCAAAACACACAAGGTACCCATTATCATGAGTTCACTTTCTAACAGGGAGAGAGAGAAAAATATAAACAGTATTTTGGATAGTGATAAGTGCTTTGAGGGAAAAGCAAACAAATAAACAAAAACAAGGTTATCACCTGTAGAGCACCCAGAATCTGATCAGGAAAGACCTCTCTGAAGTGGGGGCACTTAAACTGAATTAGGGGAAGGACGGAAGCTGTGGAATCAGAGGAGGGAAGAACACTCTAGGCAGGAGGAACAACAGGTGCAAAGGCTCGAAGTCTTTTAACTGAAGAAGACGTCATTCTTGGATAGGAAATACTTACGTGTCTGCTTACGAATTTTAATACAGAGTCATTTGTAGTCCCTACACGGAATTTAGAATTTCAAACAGGTAGTGGTATGAATAGAAAAAACATACAGATTAGTGCCACAGAACCAAATCGGTGACTAAATAATGAAACAGATCGTGAAGTATTTTGTTTGGGTACATCACAAGAACTGTGGAATCAGCTTGGCTCTAATCTTGGAAAATTTTAAAGAGAGAGGAAAAGTTCAGAGGTTGAGGACTTGGAAAAAAAGGAATGGATCTTTTATTTTTTAACATATTACTTAAAGAGCATCTAAACATAGGAAGGAATGAGATGATCGGATCAAGGAGTAATTGAATGCTGTTGTCTAAGAGTAAGAACAGAAAGGAGGCTTAGGCTACTTAGGAGAAGGTAATGAGGGAAGTGAGATTCTCCAGTTCATTAGCGTGGTGCTTCCAAGGAGAAGGTATATGTTGACCTGGACCCATGAAACAGTGGGTTGAAAACACATGTTGAATATTTCTAAACGTTACCTCAAAGGTCATAAATTCAAATGACTACAGAGGCCAGATGTAAATGAGTGACAGTGGGTGTACTGAAGAATGCATGAATCACGCAAGGAGAACAGCTGATTGTTTTCTTATAAGTGTCAGGGTCTCAGATTGCCAGATCCGTTTTTTTAAGAAAAGCCAAATGTCCTGACACACGATGTGGGAACGAATTCATTTAAAATGCACGCGCACACGCATGCAGACACACGCACATCCCGGTGGGGAGCTAACAAAACAGCAGATGAGCTCCCTTGGCCTGCGGGCTGCCAGTTCTCGGCCCCACTGTATAGCGTTAACATAGATACACAAGCTCTCCCTTAAAATGTGCTTCCCGTGAAAACCGTAAGACTAACAGCCTTGTTTTCCTCCTTAGGATGGTGCGCCCAAGGCTAACCATTTATGTTTGTCAGGAATCCCTGCAGTTGAGGGAGCAGCAGCAGCAGCAGCAGCAGCAGAAGCGTGAGGATGGAGACTCAAATGGGACTTTCTTCGGTAGGTGGTTCTGGACAGGCGAGGACGCCCACGAAGAAAGGGAGGGAGGTGCCTTATGAGCATGTGTGATGGGAATTCCTCAAACAGCAGATGCAGCATTTGCTAGAAGTAATGGTCATCGGTAACGTGTATCGAGTTCCTCGTATATACCAGGCACTATTCTCGGCCCTTCTGCATGCCTTGATTTTTACAACCAGTGTCTCCTCTTTGCGGTAGATTTACTGTCACTGCTAACATTCGGGTGAGGAAAATGAGGCTTAGAGATGTTAAGTAACTCACTCCCGTCACACAGCCAACGGCGGAGCCAAGATTTGAACTCAGGCAGTCTGACTCCGAGCCCTTCAGGAAAGCGGGCGTTCCGAGTGAGCAGATTACCTTTAACAGCAGAGAGACCTGTATTGACTGCCATCGCTCTCTCCCTTTTGCAGTGTACCACGCCATCTATCTAGAAGAACTGACCGCTGTTGAACTGACCGAAAAAATCGCTCAGCTTTTCAGCATTTCCCCTCGCCAGATCAGCCAGATCTACAAGCAGGGGCCGACAGGAATCCATGTGCTCATTAGTGATGAGGTAGAGTTTCAGTAGAGCTGAGTCACCAGATGACAGGTTGTCAGGGCATGTGACAGGAGCAAGAGCAATTCTACTGGGGCACAGCGCTCTGTTTTCTAGTCCAGGGCTTTGCAAAATCTTGTGCTTGCTTACTTTCTAAAATAATTTCTAAATACCATGTATCCCCTTGCACATTTTTAGGTTGACTTGAAACTTTCTGCTTTAAGTTTAAATAGTTGCAGAATATGTCATTCCTGGGCATATTATATAAACTTTAAAAATGAAATGGTTGCATCACTATTCTAACTATATTCCATGTGACCTAAATAGAAGTGATTTAATACCAGCACCATCATCTTAAAAAACACATGAATATACTTTTCTTTATCAGAGTTTTATATCATTTCTTGATTGCCTTGAATTCCTATTTCCACTCACTTCCCCCATAGAATCTTATCTTATCATAACCTATTTTTATGCTCAAGCATCCTTTACTAATTATCCTACCATATTTCTTTGAAACAAATCTGTTTCAACAAAAGAATGTTTCAATAAAAATTTAAAAATTATTTCTTCTGAATAAAATTATCACCATAATCATACAATTAACATAAATGTATTATGTTTGAATAAGAATTTATTATTATTATTTTTTAATGTTTATTTCTGAGAGAGAGAGCATGAGCCGGGGAGAGACAGAGAGAGGGAGACACAGAATCCAAAGCAGGCTCCAGGCTCTGAACTGTCAGCACAGAGCCCGATGCAGGGCTCAAACCCATGAACTGCGAGATCATGACCTGAGCCAAAGTCGGACGCTTAACTGACGGAGCCACCCAGGCATCCCTTGATAAGAAATTATTAACCACTAAGAAATATGTATTAGATAAAAATTTGAAACAACAAGAAAAAAATGTAGAAGTATCTCTGTCAATGAGATGGGTGGGATTGTCTGATTCCTCACCCCCACCCACATTAATTCATGTTTTGATGAATACCGTCTACTGATTTATAGCATGAAATAGAGTTCACCATCACTTCCATTCTGTTTTATTCTGTAGATATAAGTGCTATGGAATCTGATTCACACAGATTGTCAGACAGGAATGGAAGGAGTTTTTTTATAACAGCATCACTGGATTTTTTTTTTTTTTTTAACTACTGAGTTAGGTGCCAAAAATTATATAGTGATGTTACAAAGAATTATTTTGAATCGCCTATCATTTGACAGTTTGTGATTAGGTCAGTCTTCAGTTCTGGTGAAAGGAAAGAATTAGAAACCACGTGACTCCCATAAGAGTTTGTTGCCCCCTTATTAAAGTTCACATTAACAGTCACACTTTGGCATCCTGGAGATTTTGTACCCTGGGGCAATAATGCATCTTGGTAGGATTCCAGGAGGGTGAAAGTTATGCCTTTATTTTGAAAAATGGGAGAAGGGAGTTTGAGAAGGGAAAGTGGGTAGAGAAAGCTGAAGAGGTGCTCAGGCGGTTTTGGGAAAGAGTACCTGTAGAAGATAAGGACCAGGAAGTCAGTGCTCCCAAATGGGCCTGTCAGGGTCTGTGCACCCCTTGGAACGTCTTGGGGTTAACCCAGGAAAACGCATACTATAATTTTAAGATCACTGTTTTAGACTGCTTAGCTTTTAAAATGTAAGAACTAAATGGGAGAAAGCAAAACAAAGAATTATTTTCCCTTAAATCTAACCTAATAAAAAGCCATATGGTCTAAATAAATGCAGCAAACCCAAGTTTTTAATAATTAGCAAATTTTCTTGCTTTCCTCAGATGATACAGAACTTTCAGGAGGAAGCCTGTTTTATTCTGGACACAATGAAAGGTAATAAAATAGTAAGCAGCTGCCTCTCTCTAAGGAGTTTAAGAGCTTTGTTCATGGTTTACTCCTTTGAGGAGAGAGGGAAGGTATCGACCACCATATCTGAAGTAGAAAAAGCGATGTCCTTAGAGATTGGCAAGAAGCCAGTTCATACAAAAGGAACCATCGCTAAGAGTGTAAGTGGCGACTCTGCCCTTCTCTTCCACCTTCCATGGACAAATGAGATTGAGGCATGCTGTTTTCATAATGCATATTTATTGTAAATAGTTTGTGATAATTAACGAGTATGCTGCCCTTTGTCCTGCTGTTTTTTTTTTCTCCCTTCTCAAAAGAGCCTTAGTGTATCTTTTTTTCTCCTGCTGTGTTTTAAAGGTGACTAAAGATTCTTCTCTCTCTCTCTCTCTCTTTTTTTTTACAGCGGAAACCAATGATAGCTATCATATCATACTGAAGTAGGTGCGGGGCATTCCATCCTCAGTGGCTGCTGCTTCCTTCACCTCTTGGAAGCTTCCCCCCTGAAGGGAGTCACTCGCTAATGGAGATTTGAAGGTCTGCAGGAGCCTGACCCATCTGACTGTGTGTGGGGGAGTCCAGGCCGTGGAGGCAGAACCCCAGCCATCTGTCGGCCCAAGCTCTTGTGGCACACACAGATTATTGCCCAACACCCATTTCTGCAGCTGTTTCTTAGTTAAAATTTATGGACCCTGTTGTTGTTGAATATCATTAGAAACTCCACACCATTTAGGGTGTCTGTAGGGCATAATGATGATGAGAGTTGTGTGATGTTTCATGGAAAGATGTTAAATTTTGTGATACGGAGCCATGTAATTTTTTTCTAATATAAAAGTGAACATCTATATTCCTAAGACTGGATCCTCAGTCTCTTTGCATCATACATGCTGGCTTTTGCCACAGTTGGCCCCTGAAAACCTCACCGACGAGGGGAAGTACAAAGATAGAATCGAACTTTTCTTTTGGTTGCTCTGTACTGCCAAGACTAATAGTTTTAGCTAACATTTACTGAGCATTTACTTGTGCCTGTTAGTGTGATAAAATCTTTAAGTGGATTACTTTGTTTAAATCCTCTCTGATAGACCTACCTGAAGTAGATAATAATGATCCCTAATTGAAGCTGAGGAAGTGGAGCCAGTAGAGGGGCTAAAGAGCTTGCTGAGTGACGGGCAGCTCGCCAGGAGTGTCGCCGAAATCCAAACCCAGGCAACCCGGCTCCTTTTAACCGCCAGCCATTCCTGCCACCCTTGCCATACCCTGTGTTTGCCGCTGTTTCTGACCGTGGCTCTTCTGCTGGATAGGACATAACACCGATTGAGAACTGAGGAAATGAACCACTGAAGGGGACAAACCACACCTAAATAATGCTGAACAAATCAAGACCTACAAAAAATGAGAACACAGGTGCTTTTTAAGCATCATCACTTATCAGATTCACAGACATTGAGATGGTGAAAAGGAGGGGTCATCTGTAACTCCCCAAATTCACTGTTCTTGAATGAGCTTCTCAAACTATTTATTAATGAGTTTGGCTAACCCCTGCTTTCTGTTTTCCCCTCTCTGCATCTTTTCTTGGTAGAGAAAGTTCTTTTATTCCTGTAGTGTTCTTTTATAGAAACTTTATAAGAAATTCATTCCTATCCCATCCCATATATTTTTGTTCTTCTTAAAGCGTGTGAGCGTGTGTGTGTGTGTGTGCGCGCGTGTGCGTGTGTGCTGTGCATGTGTGTGCATACATGTGTGAGGCTGTGGGTCTTAATTTTTTCACATGTAGAGTTTTATCCCTTTACACATTATGTTGAGGTGAAAAAAGATAATGTTCAAAGATTCTGTAATGGATTTGGATCTGTGCGTGTGTGTTTTTAAAGCATTTGATAAAGTTTAAATGTTTTTATACAGAGAATTTTGTTCATTAAAATCAACCTGCAATATGGTCTGATTTCTTTTGGTTTTAAACAAATTGAAAGCTTTGAAACTGGAAAATGAGGTCAAGTGACTTTTTAAAACTGGCCTGTGCAACAACTTGACATTGGACCAAAATATTTTTTTAGTGGAATTACCAGATGTCCCTGTTTCAGGGGGACATTTCTGGTTGTGTTATGTTCCTGGGACTGTTCTTTGTTTCAGAGAAGTCCATTCCCTCCTCAGCAGGCTGCTAGTATTTTTGTTTTTTGGTTGTTTTCTGTTCTTTTTGAGAGAGAGAGAGAGAGAGAGAGAGAGAGAGAGTGTGTGTGTGGGAGAGGGGCAGAGAGAGGAAGAGAGAATCCCAAGCAGGATCCACACTGTGTGTGTGTGTGTGTGTGTGTGTGTGTGAGAGAGAGAGAGAGAGAGAGAGAGAGTGAGTGGGAGAGGGGCAGAGAGAGGAAGAGAGAATCCCAAGCAGGATCCACACTGTCAGCACAGAGCCCAACGTGGGACTCGAATCCATGAACCCTGAGATCATGACCTGAGCTGAAAGGAATCAAGAGTCAGATGCTCAACTGACTGAGCCACCCAGGCACCCCGGTTGGTGGTGGTGGTGTGTTTTATTCTGTCTGAATATTAGGCTGGAGACTTGGACTAGATGACCTTGAAAGGTCCCTTCTAAATCTGTGAATCTTCTTTACTGCAAATGATATATAGGATTCTTTTAATGTATTTACTACAAATTACAGTTACTGATTTACTTAGCGTTAGAGGTTTTTAGAGTAGTCTTCATATTTATTATAGAAATGAAATTTTTTTTAAGAAATGGGTTTATATAGGTTTGCCATCAGAGATCCTTGAATTAACCAGAAAATTGCTTAGGCTTTCTTTAGCTCCAAAAAGTATTTATAGTGCCAATACTATATCATTGGTAAGACATGGTATAGTGCTAGGATGTTGTGATTATTCAACTTGCTTTTACGAATCACATCTGTTTACTATTGATCCTTTCAATTAAATGAAAAATCTAAACTAGCTTTTATTATGAAAATAATACACAAAATGATAAATTCAAACAATAAAGAGGCATATAACTTTTTCTACTTACCTCCTAGTCCTACTCTAAGGAGGTAATCCTTACAAAAAGTACTCCCCAGTCCTCCCTCCCTTTCTCCCTCTCATTCTCTCTCCCCCACTCCCCACACAAATACACACATGGGCTCATGTTAACACTAATGGTATGCAATTTGCTTTTTGTATTTAACATATCTTGAACATCTTTCTATCATTAGAATTTATAATTCTGCATCATTCTGTTTTAAAAATAGCCATTCCCTATGGATGTTGTTTAGGTTAAGTCCATTTGAACATGCATCTTCGTAAGTTTTCTGCATGTACCTCTATGATATATTCCCAGAAGTAAAATTTACTGGATTTTATCTTTTGGATAATGTGACAGTTAATACATGAACTGCAGTAGATGGTTTAATGTTTTTATTAAAGTGAGGGTATTTGAGGAGAATGGTTAGAATTTAGGCCCTCCTGAGAAGTGGAGTAGCATCCTATTTGATTTAGCATTGTGTGAACTGTTCCCTTGAAGTGTAATAGGTTCTGTCTACAAGGATCAGCTGTATAAAGACTTGATAGTTAACAGGGAGTTGTTGGGAGATAAAAGGCGGGGGGCGGGGGGAGCCATTGCCCTTCTCCAAGGATTAAGGACTAGTCACTACATAAATACAGCTACTAAATAAGATTGGCCAATATTATGGCCTAATAAGAATGTTTACATAAATTATTATTCAGGAAGCTATTTAAATGGGGAGGGGAAATGGAGATGGTCCTACTATCTGGAAAGAGATTACACTACAACCAACACAAGACAACCAGAGTCAGAGACGTGAGAAAGTGAGGTCCACACAAGGGGGCAGACATTCTGATGCCTGGACATCAGGCACAGGTAGGCACTGGGTATGTTGTGAAAGGTAGAGCGTGATCTCACCACTGGGTCAAATGAGCATGGGGAAGTTTGGTGAGTAAAGAAGGCTTGGCAAAATAGAACTAGTCATTTCTTGTATTTTCCTGTTTTAATATACTTGTTTAATGTTTGTTTATTTTGAGAGAGAGCGCACATGAGCAGGGGACGGGCAGAGAGAGGGAGTGAGAATCCCAAGCAGGCTCTGCGCTGTCAGCTCAGAGCACAATGTGGGGCTTGGTCTCATGAACCGTGAGATCTTGCAGACACTTAACTGTACAGAGCAACCCCGTTGTTTTGAATTTATGCCTAATGGAGGAGTGTTCTGAAAACCGTTTGTATTCCCAAATATTTATTCTCAGCAGGTCTTTTGTGTAGCGTTGCTGCAGAGATTTGGGCCGTCTTGTAAACTACTGTGAAGTGAATGAAGGTTCGGCATTGGGTTTTGAAAGTAATACAAATTTGGGGTGCAAATATTTGAACTCAAGACTGAGCTTACCCCTCTTCACTGTAGCTTTTTTTTCTTTTGTCCATTACCTAACAATTTCAGATAGCATGATTAGAGAGCTGAAGTTGACCTGTTTTATTATCTTACTGAATTGTTCGACTTCCTTGGTCATGGGTGGTTCCTCTACAGGAATTTGATCTGTTGTGTGGCCTCTATTGGTCTGTTATGAGAACTCCAATCTCAACAGAAATGGCACAAATGCCCCACCTAGCTGCATCATTTGTATACTAATTCACACAGTACCTTCCATCATTCTTCTATTTCTCCTAAAAATGACCTCTTTTCTCAGTTGCATTCTTCCTAAAGCTAGGATATTTATTTTTAGTTTGCGATTCAGTTTGTTTTGTTATACGAGCTCCAAGGCTTAAATGGGGAAGAATTTACTACCACTGCAAAATGGAATGAACTGGAGAAAAAATGCCCTATGTGACATAAGATTAATGCCATAAGCGTCTGTTTCTTTCTGTACCGTTAATATTTTATTTCTTTTATTGCTTCATTTAATGACCTTGTATTTTACTTTGACCTTAAACATCCATCTATTTCCACTTCTTCCTCTTTTTCTTCATCTTTCCTTTTCATTTCTAGATCTCCTCTGTGTTGTTCCTTATGTGCAGGGGTCTACTGAACAAATTGCACCTAAGTCTAGCATTTACATTCTCAAAATCAGAGGTTTAAAGTTCTATCGGAATTAAAATTTTCAGTTGGATTAATGTGAATTAGAAGGAAACTTGCTATTTAATTTCTTTTAACGTTTATTTATTTTTGAGAGATACAGAGTGCAAGCGGGAGAGGGGCAGAGAGAGAGGGAGACCCAGAATCCGAAGCAGGCTCCAGGCTCCACTCTGTCAACACAGAGTCTGACGCAGGGCTCGAACTCACGAACCATGAGATCATGACCTGAGCCGAAGTTGGACGGAAACCTGCTATTTAAAAAATACTGTTGTATTTATCTTATTGCACTGTTTTGTACTGTAGGGGTCTTGAAGGGCATGAGTTATAACCAGTTATCTCTCATGGAATCTATATTTTCATATATTTGCATAAGATGAGGTAAAC